CGTTGGTGGCAGGATTTTGTGGAATGAGCGGATGGCGTCATTCCTCCTCACTGCTACTGCATGTCCAGTTATCCTTGTAACGAGGAAGCTTTCAGTTGCTTTACAGACAGGGCAAACGACTCCAAATGTTTCCCGCCGTCGTAGGCGGTCTGTCGGCCTAATTGATCGGCACCTGACAGCTTCCCAAACTTTCTTGACGTAAAGGAGCGTCCAACGAAAAGGTGGAGCCGGTGGAATCTGATTTCGCCTCTTGCTAACCATGCTGTGTGCGTAACCATTCGCTTCGAGCACCTGTTGGTGATATTGTAATTTAAACACATTGTTTTTGAGTTTGTTCTGGCAGGTATCAACAGTCTGACATAGCGCACATACGCGAATGGGCTTGCGGCCGTATTTCTCACCTTCCTGAACACTTTTTTCCTTAAGCCACCACAATCTTTGCAGCAGATGAAGACAGCGAGGCAGGCCAGCTGGTTCTGCTCGTCCGTCCCGCGCAAATTGTGTGTCCAGAAAGGCGGCGTTGAGGTATCCTTTGAATTTCAACACCTCTTCCACGACGAGAACGGAATCATCCATCAACCGAACATACTTCAAAGCCGTCTTACCTGCAGGAAAATTAACTCACTGCACAGACCAACGCAGTCATATGTGCATACATGGCAAGCATACCTAAGACACCATTCAGCACTCCTGTCATCTCTTGCACACATCCAACCTATTCACGTGTTTAACAGTCCTGCCGGTGTGTCTCCACTGTGACCGCACGTTCCTTTCAAACACAGGCCTGGTCTGATATCTGCGAGTTCACCGCAACAGAAGCGGAGGGCTATGGCGAGGTTCGTCTTACCTGTTAGCACAATCTCCGCACATTCAGATGATTGCATGGGCCTAAACAGCCACCTGCGCATATACAGTGAGAATCTTTAAAACAGTAATCTCAACTCACCTAGAAGTCATGCAGAAGAGCTTGTCAACGTCGTCAATGACGAGAGGCAAATTGTTCTTGTGGATATGACAAGGGTCCGATGGAGACTACCCCCAAAGTCTGTACGACAATTGCGGGAGGAATTCAGAGTCTAAGCGTGCTGCTTTCACGGCAGCCAAATCTTCCGCCGCCGCCAGTCTTTCGCTTAATTACTTGTACTCGTAATCGTAATTAACTGTACTTGATACGGCTGTGAATATGCCTGAGTTAGCGAAATCGATGATTTTATGGACTGTACCCCTTCACATGTGACTATTTGTGGCAGCTGATCTACCAAGCTCAACCCATTCTCAGCTCCAGCGACGGAAACCGAGGGTACAAAGGACCGTTTCTATGCCTTGACGAAAGCTGAAAACAATCAACAAATAGTTCCGGTACTCGACCAGTTTTCTCCCTTACTCATGC